TCAACGTGTGTTAGTCCTTTGCTGCGTGACATCTGGTGGAGGTGCGGGGTACATGAACCCTAAGCCATTGCCAAGCCGACAAGCACGCCCAACTCGTGTCAGCCGCCGACAGCAAGGCCTTCAGCCAGAGTTTGGACTGCTCCCGGATAAAAAAAGGAAAGAAGACGTAAAAACCACGATGATCAACGCAGGCACCATGACCAGCGCTACGAACCCTCCCGTCGTTCTGCAACAACCTCGTGAGCCCCCATCATTCCGAGGATCTCCTGGTGAAGACCCGGAAGAGTGGCTGGAGAAGCTGGAGCGCATCCGCATCTTTAACAGGTGGGATGACGAAGAAACGTTTCGTCATGTCTTCTTCTATTTGGAGGATGCAGCTCGAACGTGGTTTGAGAACCATGAAGGCAGATGTCACGCAGCAAAGGACGACGCAGTTGTCTATGAGGAAAACAAGTTTATTGGAGCGAACCTGTGCTCCCCTAACAACTGAAAAAATTCACAGGCGGCGAAGCAGCGGCCAGCAAAACGACGGGCACGCTAGTGAGCGTCGGCGATCGAATGACGCGGCATTGGCTGTGCAGGAATTTATATCCCTCGGCGCGAGGGTTTCTCGAATAGTCGAATTGTATCGAGAACGCCGTGATAGCGTTTGTTAGAAACGCTGTTCGTTCGAACAGCGTTTCTAACAAACAACGCTTGAAGCGTTGTTTCTATCGAACAACGCCTGAAGCGTTGTTCGATAGCGTTTGTTCGAAACGCTGTGGTAGCATTTGTTCGAAACGCTGTGAAAACGGCAATAGCACAGGCCGGCGCAGCCAGGCCGAAAAAACAAAACACAATTAAACAAACCCAATGCATGGTTCGCGGCAGTATGTGGGGATTGTATCACATTGAAACCGTAGCCCTAGTATCGATGTCGCAGGGCACTCAATTTTTCATTGAGTTTTTGCACGCAGTTTACCATCGAAATAAAACATGCACGTGACGGGTGACATTAATATTTCGCCGATAGCACATAAGCATACCGAGCAATCAAATATGGGGGACATCTCGATTTTGAAATATGTTAGTGTCCCAATAAAGCTAATCGCTTTGGGTCATTCCACGTCAAACGTCCCGGTCCTTATGGCAGCCATTTCAAATGCACTCGAAAAATTTCGCAAAAACAAACAGTAAAGTGCTAGAATCTTTCGGAGAGAAAAAATTTTTAGTCACGTCAGAGCGGTCCTAATTTCAAAGAGTGTCGTTTATGTATAGTTTCTCAAAAAATACTGGGGTATCACTTCCTGTTATGTTTCTAAATTTGGATTAGATGGGGACCAATAGCTTATGTCTGAGTTGTTCGAAGAACAATAAAGTTAGTGCAATAATTCTGTCATACATGCCTCCAGAAAGTTTGCCTGAACGTTTCATGTTTTTATCGTATAAAAATACGTTCTCTACGAATCTTTTAGCAATAAAAATAACTTTACACAATTTTTTTTCAGAAAACTGGTGCTTCTAATTTTTTTAGAAGGGCAAATCGATTAACTAAAAAATCACTGTTTTTGTCCATATTGAGGCGAAATTTACACGGTGTGGTGGTCCGAATAAAAATCACTTTGAGACCTCAGTCGAAGGCAAATAAATAGCTTTTTATATCGTACGTGCAAGCTTCATTATCTCGATTTTTCTCAGAAAGACGAAAATATATGCATTGACGGCACCGGACGAATTCAATGAGCAAGTGGTCGTATGATCAAATAAGAAGACAGCTATCAACATGGAATATAAAAAAAAATACTTTCTTCCTCACAACAAATATTGTAGTGACGAAACTTGCCACATAAAAAGCACTAGTTATTTTTTTTTTCGATAAGGTAGAGACTGATATTTATTATAGGCACCACATGGAGCAAATTTATTTTTATTTAAAGTATATTGCAGTCACAAAGAACCATGCAGGTGGGAAAATGTACAAATGTAAGGTAACAAGCACAGGTGTAGCCGAAGGGAACACAAGCTCACCGAAGAATCTTTCGCATTTCTAGAAATAATACAAAAAATATTGAGCCTAACCTAACTAGACCAAAATAATAGGTTTACAGGAGAGGGACGCATATATAGGATTTAAAACACACACCCTCACCCTTTCGCTTCAATTTCTCCCATAATAGAGTGCGAAACATTAGAGCTGGCAACTGTAGGCAAAAAAAAAACAAGAAAAAACAACAACATTTGTCCACGAAATAAGTCCGGAGTGTTAATACTGTATTTGCAACTTATGAAGTACCACTAAGTAAAAAAAACATTACAAATTACGAAATACAAAAATAAAAAGCTATGAGAAAGAATAAAAAGTCACATGAACACTCAGAGTTTTAGTGCATTCCTAGATGGTGAAGTAGCGCACTTTCAAATGAACTTGCAGATTCTAAAGAAACAATATTTTTAGGCAGCAAATTCCAATCAGGAAAGGTTTGTGGAAAAAAACACTTAAAAAGTACTTAAAAAGATTAGTACGCGTTTGATTAGAAATTAGATTATGTGCATGTCAATTTCTCGACGTGCGTGACGTAAATAACTGAAGGTACGCACGTGCATTCACAATAAATCTGTTATGAAAGCAAAAATAAAACTTTATGTCTTGATTTTTCTGTGTTGCTCTAAGGTTGTAATTTACTTTCCAAGCATTATAGATGATGTTGAATCTGTTTTTTTTATGTAACGGTCAATCTGTTCTTTTATAAATTGCGTCTCAATGCAAACCAAAATGATGCCATTCTTGCCATATCCCTGTAAAATTTAGAAGCATCATTGATGTGAAAATATTTTATCGTAAAATGTACTGGTGTAAATTAAACGTCCTTTACTTGAAAATTCTTGCATAACACACTGTTATAAGCCCACTTACAATTTGAAAATTTTTCTGAAGGCACATGCTGCACATGCTATCGAAAAAATGCAATAATTGTCATAATATCAAAAACCTTAGGTCGACGCCTTTCACCAATACCAAAGTCATATTGTCGCTTTCGCCGAAGAGTCATCTTAACACGACACCACTGGGCTTCCTTCTCTTTTTTTTTTGTTTTTGTTCGGCCGTTGCCTTGCGCTACCTTTTGACACGCTCCTGCCGATCGGACAAAGTTACACGTCAGAGGACGCCTGGAACGCAATAATGAAGCTCCAAGAGGCGTGCCGAGTTCTTTGACGATGATTATGCGACTGCCAGGACTATTGCAGGCGCGTATAGGACGCCCGCTATGGTGACGTTCCCTACTGACCCTGTAATTTGGTCTTCCTGTTGTTCTCCTTCCGCTGCGTTGGACGTTTGGCGAAGTTACTCCAACGCTATTCAGGCCCATACCGTATATTAGGTGAAGTGACTGACGTCCTTTATGAAATCGCCTTTTCTGACCCCATCATCTGACATTCGTGACCGCATATGCGCCATCAGCTGCCGGGAAATGATGGAAGAGGCAGAAGAGGACGACGGAGAGGACTGAAAATAGGATAATGTTGACAAACCCTGCAAGTTTGGGGTCATATTGTTACTCACTGAATTTATTTTTTGTGTATATTCTGTAAATATATTGTCCCATAGCAATATTTGCTATCAATAATCTAATCAGTTATACCCTGACGAACCATACTCGGACAACATTCTTCTCCATGCGAATGACTCCCACATGAGCGGTGGTTTTTTTTTTTTTTTTTGAGAAATATTCTGGCACCTCACTGTTTCCAAGACAAAAAATCCGCACCATTTATTTGTGAGTGCATTTGAGACGGTTGCCAAAATGGCTGGGACGTTTATCGTAAAAACGCCTTTCCTTAATTGATTGATATGTGGGGTTTAACGTCCCAAAACCACTATATGATTATGAGAGACGCCGTAGTGGAGGGCTCCGGAAATTTAGACCACCTGGGGTTCTTTAACGTGCACCCAAATCTGAGCACACGGGCCTACAACATTTCCGCCTCCATCGGAAATGCAGCCACCGCAAACGCCTTTCCTTAAAGCGGCCATCTGTTCGCAAACATCGGCAGTCATCGTAGGTCATTTCTGCACAAACTTTATTGTGTTGCATCTCTATTTTTCTAATTGGCACAGTTTACTCTGTCATTCAAGAGAGAGAGACATATCAATAGAAAGGAAAGGCAGGGACGTCAACCAAGCTGTTATGCAAATCTCGTAATTAGAGTGGCAGCTCTTACCATGAGTGAATGCCAGCGAATGGTGTGAGATATTTTATATTGACTTTATTCAGAAATGGTTATGGCCAGGGCACGTAGCGCGAAGGTGAAATAACCACTGGTCATTAAGGGTAACAGACTAGATTCATAAAGAAGGACAAACAAGTGAGGCGGAGACAGAAAGTTGGGGGGGGGGGGGGGGGGCAGATGAGAGTAGCAAATTTGTGGGTATAAAGTGACAGCAGCAAGCACAGGAGCGAGTTGTCAGGCAGAACAATGAAGAGGCCTTTGTCCTACAGCTGGCGTAGTCAGGCTGATGATGATACTGACTTTGGAGTCGATTTTGCAAGGCGCTCATACTTACATCGGCACTAGTGCGACGTGAGTCTGCCAATGTCAATTCTTGCGTATTGAACAAACTCCACTGTGTGTCGTGTTTTCTTCAGGTCCGAAAATCTTAAAAATGTCCTCTTGTGCGCCACCAGTACCCCGAAAACCTGCAAAATGGCCGCTTCTGCAACACAAACTGTGTCAGGGTGCCATTATCCTAGCGCTGTGCACGGAGCGGACCAGCTACGGAAACGTTTCCATTGCTCTCGTGAGCCCGTGACGAGAGCTTATGACGGGTTGCCACATTTAAATACTCTTGAACTCGCTCCTAAACACATGCTGTACTTACTTTTGCAGGATGAACCCATGGTTATCAGCACATTATTTGTAGCATCTTAAGGCTTGGCCTTTTATTTGGTGAAAGAAAAAATGAAATCGAAACTGAAAATTTTCTGTCAGTGGCCTTTTCAGAGTGGCCTTTCGGTTCGCAGTGGACCATGATCGCGCCCATGCACGTACAACGCAGCGACGCGTGTGCCACTGCACACGGAGGCTACGTGTACGTGACAGGCGGCTTCAGCGGCAACGAATGCCTTAGTTCGGCCGAGAGGTACGACCCGTTGCCCGGCCAGTGGACGGTCATTTCGTCCATGCGGTTCCGTCGAAGTGGCGTGGGCTGCATCGGATTCCTCGACTGCGTCTATGCTGTCGGTGGCTTCAACGGATCCTCGAGGCTGTGCTCGGCCGAGAAGTACAACCCGGAGACTAACAGATGGACGACCCTTCCCACCATGAACTCCTCGAGGAGCAACTTCGCCATGGCGGTGAGAGCGCAGAGCAGCGCGTATCGCTGATTACACAGCATCACCGCCTTTTCCTTGTGAATTAGGGGTGCACATTTTTTATGATGGTTCGTAAAAGGCTTTGGTCTTAACGATATATCGAGAACCCGGTAGCGGGCTGCGTGGGGAATTTAGAGAAAACTCTTGTTACGTACGTCATCAGCAGTATTTCTGATCATTTCCTTCGCTACGTTCCGTTGTATTTTGAACCAGTATAACAAACCTGTCCGTACTGCCAAGCATCAGGCACGGATCGCCGTAACTTGAGGGCTGTTCAACTGCTAATGTGACATAAACAAAACGCTAAACGACATAAGGGAAGGTTAGGTTTCTTTTTTGTGTTAGACACAGTATTAACGAAACCGAACTGACAAAGCATGGCCACTGCTCAATTGATAGCGCACCCGACTAGTTATTCGAAAATAGCAGGTGCTCTGTCTGTTGGCGGTAAGCCTACTTTTCTTTCTTTTTAATTTATTTATATTGTTACGGGGAAGATTTATTCACCGACAGCAGGTCTTGCTAACGGCTTAAAGTGCACACAGTCATGCAGGCCAATGGGGGAAGCTGGAGAGACCAACCCACAGCAACCACATTGTCCTTTTCCTTCTTTCGGGGGCCATTTCAGCTGTGCCGAAGTGACAGTTCCATACCCGTATCAATATTTGCATCAAAATTATTACAAAAATTGGCAGAACCAACGTACAGACGGAATCGATGATATGCAAAACACGAACGCGGAAAGTTGATATGTCACTTCAAAATCAGCACAACGTTACGAGGCGGAGGCGGTACATGACTTCCATGTCATGATTATCATGGTTGGAGTGTTTATTTACTTTCGCCATCTATTCGCATCACCTGATACCAAACTTAGTACATGGAAATCTAGCGAACCGGCGGCGAGCGAAACATGAAGGGCCCAATATACTCCAACGTAACGCTGACACGCGCGCACGCTGGACGCACCGACGCTACGATAGCAAAACGCAAGCACTCCACCGTCTCACGCCAGGCGCGACCGTTGGAAGTAGCGTCCGTCGGCGCGGCCCGGCGATAACCGGCGCGAGATACGACATGCTGCATTTCGTGCCGACGACATTACCCAGACAGCACCGCACCTGCCTCTATTTGTGATGGTGGGACACCGGACACGATCAAACGCACATGCGCCAAAGCAATGCAGCGCGGCGCGCGCCTGCAAGTACATGGCAGGCAGATTGGCGCCTGGCGTGGCCTCGCCTGCTTTACGCTACAAAACGAACGCCGGCGCACACGCGCGTGGGGGTCACGTCGAAGTGTATTGGCGCCTTGAGTGCGTTCTTACATGTTCTTACATGACATGCATCTCATGATCATCATGTTTGCACCAGTAACATACCTTCGTTATACATTCACGCGACGTAATACCAGATTTCGCATAAATGGAGCTGGCGAAGCGGACACCAGCGCATCATAAGTGTGGCATGCAGTCATGTTGTTACATGACACGCATGTCATGATTATCATGTTTTGACGTGTCTTTTAGAATATGTCGTCCATTCGCGTACATAATACCGAATTCAGAACAGGTGAAGCTAGCGAAACGTCCGCTAGCGCATCATGAGCGTACCATGTAGTCACGTTGTTACATGACACGCATCTCATCACTATCATGTCTGCACCAGTCAGATACCTTCGTCATTTAATCACGTTGCGTAACACCAAACTTGGTTTATGGGAAGATAGTGAAACGGCCGCGAGCGCATCATTAGTGTGGCACATAGCCATGTTGTTAGATTACACGATTGTCATGACTTTCATGTTAGGGTCTGTCGTTTGTGTTCGCCATGCAGTCATGTCATACCATACCAGTTTTGCAACATGTCATGTGAACGAAACCACCGCAAGAGCAGCAAGGCCATAAACTGTAAATCTCAACATTCATGAGATACATGTCATGATTTTTATGTTTTGACTACTCACTTATGTTCCCCATACAGTCATGTTATGCCATACCGATTTTGTTATCGATACCATTATCGGATCGGAATCGCAGGGAGAGCTAAAAGTCGTCGATAGATAGATAGATAGATAGATAGATAGATAGATAGATAGATAGATAGATAGATAGATAGATAGATAGATAGATAGATAGATAGATAGATAGATAGATAGATAGATAGATAGATAGATAGATAGATAGATAGATAATAGATAGATAGATAAATAGATAGATAGATAAATAGATAGATAGATAGATAGATAGATAGATAGATAGATAGATAGATAGATAGATAGATAGATAGATAGATAGATAGATAGATAGATAGATAGATAGATAGATAGATAGATAGATAGATAGATAGATAGATAGATAGATAGATAGATAGATAGATAGATAGATAGATAGATAGATAGATAGATAGATAGATAGATAGATAGATAGATAGATAGATAGATAGATACGCTCAATGTTGGCGAAGTTCGCTAAAAAAATCTTTGCATTTAATATTATTGGCTGAAGCTTTCGGGGCTGGAACTTGTGTTAGTCATCAGCAGGTCACGCACTTGGGTTTGTTACTTCAAGATTTCTTGTAGAAAACAGTGCTAAAAGATGGGGAGAAGACAGAACGCAAACTAAGGCACTTGCCACCACAAAACACGTGTTATTCTTCCAGTCCTAATCTATACTCTCCACCACAATCACAATGAAATATAAAAACAAAACCATGATCAATTTGATCAATAGTGTTCCTAAAAAGAAGAAAAATCACCTCCTAATATTCTCCTGTTTTCATTCACTTTCAGCGAGCGTTCCATTTTTGCAAAATTTATGCATTCAAACTACATAGGGAGGGATCATTGGTCGCTTCCGAGCTGGTAATGATATCACGTGCTACTTGAAGCCTATATACTTAATAAGTGTTTCAAGTTCGCCGTCCTGGCGGCGAGCGGAGCTCATTTACGCTCCCAGTTTTTATTACATGGAAATGCCCAATAATGTTGATGGGGATAATAAATGGACTGTTACTCAATGGGTTAAACATCTGATGCGTTTTTCGAAGTATGCAGGTTCGGTCCCTGCTAGCAGAAAGTCAACTTTTATTTCTTCACGTTTATTTTTAATTACTAGAAAAAATTTCCTATGCTTCGCTGTCTTGGCTGTCTGCTAGTTCTCATTCAAAATAAAAAAGTGCAGCATACCCGGCGCGAACTGTTGAAATGTAGATGTGGCGAAGCCCCTTCGAATTACTGTCTTTCACCCGATGTTCTACTGTGCGCGGCATTTTCTTCGTCACTTCTGCTGAATCTCTCTCATAAGGCTATAAGTCCGTGGTGCCGATGATCATTCCTGATCGAAGTTGCCTCTGACGCCTTCTTTAAGCTATACAACTGGGTACCCGAAGGAAGTTCATCATACAGAAGTAGCACTGACGCTTACGCTACCTACGTTACGCAGGCCGAACAACTATGTACCGTAAGCAAGTTAATCACATAGTGGTAACGGGAAGCGGAAGTGAACCAGATAGACCAAGTGGAATTTAAAGTGAAGCCAAAGAAGTGCGTACCCGGAGGTCACTTGGCCGACCGTAAGTGACGTAATGGAAGTTAGGTGTGACGAAGTTGAACCTCCCGCATTTGTCTAATTAAGCGCAGCATATTCTATTTGACAGCAGCAGACATGGTCAGCAACCGCAGATGCTCCCAGTGTAGACTCAATTGTTTGGGTTAGGCGCCTCAGGACCATGATGTGGTATTGCGAGATGCTGGAGTTGAAGGCTACGGAAATTTCGGCCCCTTGGGTGTCTATGACTTGTGCACATGCCTCTATAATGACTTGATACAATATAAAGTTTTTAAACTTAAAATTGGCTCATCATATACGATGAATATTAGAATCAGCACAAAATCATGAGTGATAGAAATGATAGAATTGGCACTTCTGATGAATGAAAGTGTCCATGGCTGATTACGTATCAGCAGACAACCTGTCAAAGCGTTAGTCGCATTTGAAACACGTTATTTCATAAAAGACAGAGCTTTGGGAGAACATGTGTACCTGAAGTAACGAGCAGTCGTAGAACAGGGGATGTCACTGCAGCCAGCGTCTCGACATCTGGATTTCTCGTCAGACAGCTTCACTGCTTATTTGCAAATAGAAGTCCACTTATCGAAACATTGACATTAGCGACGTTCTCTGTTCAATGGTTCCTCATGACATGTTATTTCATTATTGCTTTATCATTGGTGTTGAACAAAAACAGAGCAGCGCCATATCCTTAGTGGTCTCCACTTATACCAGATAACTAGACGAAGTATAGTGAGCACTATACCGTAGCGCCATCTAGGAGTAAGCGCTAGTAATATACAGAGCAGCGCAGCACCACTAGTGGTCTCCACCCATACCAGATCACGCACCGGAGTAGAGAGAGCGCTATACCGCAGTGCCATAAAGGAGGAGTAAGGCTTTTATTATACAGAGGAGTGCAGCGCCGATAGTGGTCTCCACCCACACCAGACCACGTGCCGGAGTAGAGCACGCGCCGTTTGTAGAGCACGCACCGAATTATGTATGTATTATGTAACATTATGTATGCCATAATTGATAGGCCATGATAACAGTATAAGAGGGGAAAAAAAAGACTGGTCATGGACAAAAATATTTCATGCATGTCATTTTTACCATGACATATGACCAGTTTGTGGAGCTATAGTGGTTTTATTAACTTGCGGAGTACCAAATTTACAAGACATCGTAACAGATTATGAATAACATCAATGAGTAATCATAAAACTAAAACGTCTACAAAAATACATGATTCAGACGACAACGCAAAAGAAAAGCTCCATCGACGGGAGTGAAGCAGCGATCCCTCGCTCAGCAATAACGGCTGCCGGGCACGCTATTCACTTCACATTTTCCACATGATTTGTAGGCATTAAAAAAAACCTTTCATATCTACCACTGACAACGCACAGTACTCTCGGTAAAGGGTAAT